CGCCTGGCTTTGCCTCTGGATGTGGCTGCACAGCCGAGGGTTGAGGGGTGCTTGCTTGTGACACACCTGATGCCCGGGCCGGCTGTGAAGCGATGGGTCCGAGTCCCGCTGCACTCAAAGGGGGCAGAGCCGCAAAACCCCAAGGAAAGGTAATTCTAAGCTCTTTACGTGGGACAAGCACAACACCCAGGCATAAAACACGGGCCGCAGCCGGACTGGCTGAGCCAATCGCGTTGGAGCGAACTCTGCACCCTGGGGAGGAAATCGGTTTACAAGGTGGGGGAAGGGGACATGTCCTCCGAGTCCCGCTGCACTCAAAGGGGGCAGAGCCGCAAAACCCCAAGGAAAGGTAATTCTAAGCTCTTTACGTGGGACAAGCACAACACCCAGGCATAAAACACGGGCCGCAGCCGGACTGGCTGAGCCAATCGCGTTGGAGCGAACTCTGCACCCTGGGGAGGAAATCGGTTTACAAGGTGGGGGAAGGGGACATGTCCTACGGATCTGCTCTCTCCAAGGCGGCGTGAAAACTACCGGCAGCTCCCGGAGAATTCTCTACCCCGGAGCCGCTTGCCCTTACCCCTCCCCCCCCGGAAGCTGGAGACTCAACGTTCCCGGGTAGAACCCTGAGTTCTGAAGCGTTCCACGGTAACCACAGCGACCAATTATGTTGCGGGCGAGAATCCCTGCGCGACACGCACAAGCCGGGCTAGTACGTTCTGTTCCATTTCCTCTGCCCCCTCACTCTAGCTCGGGAGGGGAGGAGCAGGGATAAAGCGGATCTCTGCTCCCTTAGGCCGTGTCCAGACTCAGGGGTTTTTTCGGGAAAAGTAGCCTTTTCCCGAAAAAACTTCCCCTGCGTCCAGACTCAAGCCGCGTTCTTTCGAAATTATTTCGAAAGAACGCGGCTTTTCTTTCGATGGCGGTAAACCTCAATTTACGAGGAAGAACGCCTTCTTTCGAAAGTTCCTCTTTCGAAAGAAGGCGTTCTTCAATGTAAAGAGGCCGTCTTCAAAAGAGAGCATCCAGACTCGCTGGGTGCTCTCTTTCGAAAAAGCGGATTTCTCTTTCGAAAGATCCACCTGCAGTCTAGACGCGATCTTTCGAAAGAGGCTCTTTCGAAAAATGCTTTCGAAAGAGCCTCTTTCGAAAGGAGCCTGCAGTCTAGACATAGCCTTAGTTACTTGCAGATTCGTAGACGACGTCCTGGCTGTTCAACCCCATTGACAAATAAAAACTAAGGCCCTAGAGTTAAGCAGGTTCACCAACTCCCACTCCAGGCACAGCAGAGAGGCAGCGCCGGTTTACTCTAGCCCCTGCACAATTCATACAAATGGCTTTCTTCTCTCCTACTCCCTCTCAGCAGAATGATACCGGCCCTCTTGCGATTTACTCCCGCCCAGACCGTGGCTAGAATCCGTTGCTTCATCCCACCCGCTCCTTGTAAAATTGTCTAGGAAGCTAGCGCCACCTGTTTGCAATAAGCGCTGGGCGCAGCTTCAAACAAATCGAGCTAACGGGGCCTTTTGACAGAGTCAAACAGCAGCAAATATAGGTACACGGAAGCTTCTGTTTCCATAATTGTTCTTTCTGCTTCCATCATTTGCGAAAAAGCTACTGCTAACTAATTGCCTGAAATGAACTGTACTAATTCCTAAGCAAGCAAGGGAACAAACCTTGCACAACAGATCCAAGGATGCGGAAATATTCACCATCCGTTACTGGGGCAGTGTATTAGGATCTATAGATCTGCCTTCTTAACACTTTGCATTTAATTGAAAGTTTTATAAATCTACATTTTAAAAAGTTTGTAGTATTCTAATCATCACTGTGGATATTAAAAAGGAATAGTGAGTTTCACTTTGATTCATGGTCAATTTTACTTTCAGATCCTGGTAAAACAAGCAAAGCTGCAGGGAATATTTCTTTTTAAGTGATTGACCCAATGGTAATACTTCTACTGAACTTGGGTTTTAGCTTGCCTTTATAAAACTGAAATTAGGAATGTGCAGGGCAGGACCATCCCTGAAAAAGTACCAGTGCCCTGTACATTGGGGGCCAAATCTGTTAAAGGCATTACTGGAATATGGATAATATAACATGTCTTCTGAGCTCCCCGCTAGGGATGTTAGACCTTGTTTAATAATTGCATCAAAACGTATCAGTTACACAATTATTCGATGGTTCTTGCGGCGGGGGCAGCAACCAATGCTCTCTCCCACCCCACTCTGGGGGAAACCCCTGCACCCCTGTTCTGCAGTGCGGGATAGCAGGTGGGAGCCACCCAGGCTCCCAGTGCAGACCAGCACCCACCTGCTGCCTCACACTGCTGCCATTGATACAGAGGTAGTAATGCAGGACCAGAACTCCCTGCAGCCAGAGACTGCTCCACCATCCCATGGAGCAGCCTCTATCCACAGGGAGCTCAGACCCACCACCGACAGAGGCTGCTTTGGCATCCTGCCCGCCCCTCCCCCCCACCCACTGCAGCCTCTGATAGAGGAAGGGCAGGCAGCTCTGTAGGATCTGGTGCTTTCCTGCCTTTCCCGCCTTGCTCCCTCTGATACAGAGGCAGCAATGGGGGAAGGGTGGGGAGTGTATGTAGTCATCTGGATTAATTTGCATGGCAAACACCACAACTCTCTGGAAGCTCCAGTGTGACCATATAGATATGCAGAGGAGTAATACACATCTCCCAATCACAACAGTCCCACCAACAAAAGGAAAAATGGACCTCAGGAATAGATAGTAGAGGATGAGCATGTATTCTTACAGTGCATCATGCTCTTGAGTTTTGTACTATCCAAGGCCACCTCGGGGGTAGAAGTTGCCAAATAAGCACGTTCCCCATAAGAACTATGAAAATCAATTTGTAGCCAAGTTTGGAACCAATGATGCAGTGGTGGTAGAAAGAGTCTGAAACTAGCAAAGCCAGACTGCTGGCATTAAAAGGGAAGGAAGAACAAAAAGCAGTTGAAGTGAGGAAATGCACCTTACTATATCCACCACGTGAAGATGACAAATCTCAACTAAATGGCTCCAAAAACATGCAAGTTTCAGCAACAAAAGCAGCAGCTAAATTAAGCTGCTAGGCAAATGATCACTGCTAATGAACACTTGCCCAAGAAGGTTAAGAACACTGCCAAATCTCAGTGCAAATTCTATTTGTTGTGAAAAATCTCACTGGTTTCCCTTCATTGAAAAGAATCACTGAATCGCAGATCAACTAGAGTTGATAAGTTGTTACAGAGAACATGAAAAGATCTGAAACCAGTACAGGTAAAACCAGTGATATCACCCCCAGGGCACACAGAAATAAAAGTTTAAAAAAAAAAAAAAAAAGGGGAAAATCACATGGGAACTTTCAGCTACCTACCAAGAAAAACCAATGTCATTTCCTGATGGGCACTCTAGCCTGTATTTGTAAAAGGATGGACTTAATCAAATGGTTCAGGGGATAGCGGAGTTTGTCTATAAAGTGCTACCAGACCATTTGTTGTGTTTTAAGTTTATCTTGCACAGACTAACAAAACATGTAGATGATATCATGAGCTTTCGTGGGCACAGCCCACTTCTTCAGATGACCGGAGTTTTGAGTTTAGGATGTGCAGACCCAACATAAATAGGGGAGAAGGGAGATGGGGGAAGGAAAAAAAAGGGAGGGGGGGCAGTAAACCAGGAGCAGAGGGTATGAAAATATCAAAGGGAAAAACAAGTAGGCAGAACTGGCAATCTATAAGCATCTGAAGATTGGATAGTTAAAAGGAAGCCGATAAGGATCAAAGGATAGCAACAGATAAGGAAGCGTACTAAGGCAAGAATCTACACAAAGAGCTGTTGGCACCTTCATTGAATGTTAGGTAGATAATGCCCCAGCCATCCCCTATCTCTACTGAGAAGGCCATCAGCATGATAACTGAACTTGTGGATGAATTGTAATTCCAATGCCTCTCTGTGTATTTGACTAGTAGAACTGGTTTGTGACAAGATAGACACCTGCAGATCTTTTAAAGAGTGATTAGGTAGATTTTGGGGTCTGCATATCCTAAACTCAAAACTCCGGTCATCTGAAGAAGTGGGCTGTGCCCACGAAAGCTCATGATATCATCTACATGTTTTGTTAGTCTGTGCAAGATAAACTTAAAACACAACAAATGGTCTGGTAGCACTTTATAGACAAACTCCGCTATCCCCTGAACCATTTGATTAAGTCCATCCTTTTACAAATACAGGCTAGAGTGCCCATCAGGAAATGACATTCTCTTTGTGTATGGCAATGGGTGAAAGATAAGTAGTCTTAACAGGGCACTGTAGTGCAACCTATGGATCAAAAACTAGTGTTACATGTCTATAGTGCAGGGAATGTTATGTTGGAAGCGTGACCCGTAACGAATGCATGAACTAGAATTGTGTGCGCTAGGTATCCACAAGCCAGTCTGAATAAAATCTCTAACCCCAGTGAAAAGTCACACAAGCCACTTAAAATATAACAGTTTATTAAAAATTAGTGATCCATTTCCATTCAATGCACTGAGAGAAATCACAGGAAAATACTATGTTATTGGTTAATAAGCTTACTCCATCAACCTATTTCCCTTGCAAGGCTGACCCTTAAAAGACTAAAAATCCAGAACAAAATGAAAGCTCCTGTGATCACAAAGCAGCTTGTTCATAGAGTGTCAGCGACATTATGAAGAGTCACCCTAATAATTTGATGTCGGCCGCTAAAAAAAAAATTACAGTAGTTCAAGGGGCTTGAAAAACATCAATGAATTAAACCTCAAGACCCCTCTGAGGTAGGGAGTGTCTCACCCCATTTGTATGGGCGAGGAAAATGAGGCTTACCGAGGTCGGAGGTCACACACTGAGTCAGTGGCAGAAGTCTCGCAGCAAAACCTCAGCTGCCCTAATAAAAGGGGGTTGGTATGATATTTGGTTATACGGGAGATTTTTTTAAAATGCAAAAGGATTGCCAGAGGACACAATTCAGTTAGTCAAAAGTATTCAGCAAAACCAAACTTACTCCGGTTTCTGGCTGTTTAAGAACAAAACAAGCATTTTCTATGCCCGCCAGAATGCAGCTCTCAGAAATAGCCTAGCGTCAGTCACTCCAGTGCCCCACCAGTCGGGGTTATTTATTTATTTTTAATCATCCGGTACAAGAGAAAAAGTCAGCGAAATGGAACGTTACCAGGGGATACACGTCTCCCATTCTGAAGCTTAAATGTCAAGGCAAAGGTTAAATATTTTGTTCTGTCTCGGCATTTATCAAGCAGTGGAAGACAGCTTCCCTGCAACACTGTCCCAGCTGATGTTATCACCTAATTAAAACCTATATTAAAGTGCTGCTCAACGTAAGACATTTGTTTAGAAAGCTCCAAGCTTCCCTCCCTGGAGAAAGGAGGCCATTTGCAATTCATCACTACCCCATTTCAGAGAATACAGCTTTCCCAGCACAGATGCCAAATCAACAGTCCCCTGTCAAGGACTTCATGTACAAATGTCAGTTAATTTTCCTATTCATTCTCTAATAACCTGAATGCATAAAGTTCACTTAAACACAAGTGTGTAGATTATAGCCGGGCTTCAAAAAGAAAGCACCAGCTAATGACGGCTTGCTGGTATAGTTAAAATTCACACACTGCAAATGAGGCTCTCTCTTCTTTTCCTCCAAAAGGCTATTTTAGAGCCACAGACACAGCAATAAAATGCAAACGTAGGTGATTATGGTCTTTGTAGGAAGTTATTACAGATCTCTCAATGCACAGCTGTGAATGCCTCAAATTAAAAAGCAACACTGTCGTAATGGGGAGATCATAATAACTGCTATTTAAAAAACAGCAGAGAAAACATTCTCAGCAAGAATGGCTGCTTTGTCAACCCTGCAAAGGGTATTTTACTATAAATAAGCAAAGATTGTGCTTAGTATGATAATGATTTCAAAGCTGCATGATCCTGCACAATGGTACTTGTTCTCAATTACATCATGTCAGAAAACATAACCTAGGATTCAACAGCATCCAAGCAATTTACATCTTTTCAGGAAATAGAGGGTTAAAGTGATAATACAGAGCACAAGTTACATCAAAACTATTACTATTAAACAAAACCAGGTAGTCATACTGTACAATCAACAAGTCACGGTTCAGGTGCAATGAAAGAACATTCAACTAACATTCTGCATTGAAATATACAGGAATTTTGTTAGAACATTCAACCCATTAAAAACAGTTTCCAAATGATTCGATATGGAAACAGTGGCACTGCCTATTCCTGCATTTGGATTTAGTGAGACTTCATGGAAAGCTGTCCAACAAGGTAAGGCCCTTAGTATAGTCTATGTTCTATATAGGTACAGTACTATCTTAGCAAATCTAGTATTACGATCATTTAACACTGTGAAGGTCTCTTAGCACAAAGTCCTAGCTTTCTCTCTGAAAGTGAAGGATTTTCTGATATTCTCCCACCACTGGACTATCTCTGGGGCTGTCTGTAACAATGACACTGCTAGTTTTGACCAGCCACAGGCATTTTAACATGTCATCTAACCATGCCATGAACCACACCAATTGCTCCCACTAGTTTCTCAGAACAAAGGAAGAAACCACCTCAATAGTTCCTTGATTCACAGAACTTGTATTTCAAAAGTTACAATATGGGGGAATTTTTTTTTTAAATTACCAGAATTCAGAGATTTCAAAAGCCTTAGTCAAAACAAATCTCAGCAGCTGTGTTTTTGCTGGCATGATGTCAAAACCATCTGGAAAACAAAAAAAACCACCTCAGAAAGCAATAAAACCAGGCTATTGATCTGTATAGTGTTTGAGAGAGGCCTTTCATAAAAAGGCAGGTGCAGTTGCCTTACTGTGGCGGCAAGCCCTGCTAAAGGTGAGGAGAATTAAGAGATCGTGTTCCAGATGCAGGAAAAGCGGCCAAACAATAAGGTTAGACAATCTGCAGCAGCTAACGCCCTGCAAAGAGGTACATTCACTCTTGTTTTAAAAAGAAAAAAATAGACGGATCCTCTATTCTTTCTAAGTATTTCTTCCCACCAAAATACCTATCTAGGCAGTGCACATTCCAGCATGTCACTGTGAACTAAAAGACTCCACAGGAAAATAATCCCAAGGGATTTTACTTTTAAATGTGCAAATGAGTTTAGGGCTGGTGAAAAGTGACCCTGGAGGAGATGGGAGTCTCCCATTTATCTAAAAAGCGGATACTGAGAAAACCAGTGGTACAGCATGCTTACCACAAGGCTCTCCACATCAGGCAATGGTTTGTGGTCATACCTAGAGTGAAGCAAAGTTTTTGGATGAATAGAAATTGTGTCAAAAATGCCTGAGGAGGGACAGCTCTGTAACTTTTAGTGAATTTGGGTTGCAAATAGTTCTGGCCAAAAACAAAACAAAAACAAAAGTACACCTGGAAAAAATATTTGGAAATGTTAGAAAGTGTTGACACTATTTTGAGGTGTCACTCTGAAATAACATTCCAAATGTTTTGTTTGAGACAAACAATGTTTTTTTCTTTTTTCAGTTTTGTTGACAACACACAAAAAGATTCCATCTTGGTTTGAAATAAATTCTCCCCCCTTTCCCCCCCATTTTTCATTTCAGTCGCCAAACAAAGAAAAAAAAATCTGCTCAGACTAACCAACCAGCCTCTTAAAAAAAAAATCAAGCTCATTTAAGATCTCAAACTAGGGCATCCAAAATAAGGTCAACTTTTCAAATGTGCTTATACATTTTTCCTCATTATCCAAGTTTATGCATGTTATCTGCCAATTAATAAATAGAACAATTAGCTAGCTTACTCCGTTTGTATCCTGAATACAAGTAAGGAAATAAAATATACTTGACACTGCAACCTGAAAGCATTTTTACCACCACATTCCACAGCCATTTAATGAATTGTCAAAGAAAAAGCTAATTAAAATATTCAAAATCTTTTATCTAACCAGACTGCTGTAGACTGGGATCTTCGTCCTGGGAGACGGACCATGCTAAAGTGCTGAGCAGCTCAGGTTTTTTAATGGTTTATTACGCTGGAAGGCTGGCAAGTCTAGCATCTGAACTTCATTGCTCTTCCCACAAACTACTCTCCGGGCAATAAAACCCCCACACCTGCTGCAGTTATATACATATTTTAAAAGGCCCCTGAAACAAACCTTGTTTTTCCTTTGATACAGTAATAAGTCATCCAGTCTGATCGTTAACCGAAGGTCGGACCCTGTGACACTGGAGCTTGCTTGGATTTGTCTCCAAAACATCATTTCTACACCAAGCCCATACCCCATTTGAGCCTTCTGTGACCAGCAACCCAATGTAGCTGCCCCACTGCTGATGTCTAAGCGTAAGCTGAGGCTGGCAGGCGTTTGCACCTATTACTATCACCAGGGTCGGATGAATTGGTGCAAACCCAGGCAAGCTCTTCTTTCTGCTTTGCACTCGGCACCAGTCCAGCTACACCAGCGAGTCACACCAACTCCAACACTAATTCCAAATTCTCCAGTGCCCTTGATAAGTTTGCCCTATGTGATTAATACCACAGCGGGATGTGGGAAAGGCTGGTTTGACTGCACAGCTCCCATGATCTTTAATGGGGAATCAAATGCCTTCCACTGAGCACACTGAGTTTAGCAAAATGAAATGCGGCACTGCGGATGCTCATGGACGGCATGCAACACGCTCTCCTTTGCAACCCGAAACCTTGAAAAGCAAATAGAAAATGTCTCACAGAAGCACTGGAAAGTCAAGCTTGGAAAAATCCTACCATCCAGCACAGGCAGGCAAGCAACAAGCCAGTCTAGACGGATGACAATTAATTCCTGGCTGCTAGACAAATTGCCGCCCTGCATTAAAACAATCCTTGATGCAATAATGAACGAGGGCATGCAACTAACTGCACATTATATAATCGTCTCCTATGTGCAGTAGCTTCCCCCCCACCACCACTCAAAAAAACAACCACCCACCACGGAGATCAGACGCCTAAAGTTGGCTGACTTGGTTCGTCAGCAAACCCCATTGTTTGCCAATCTGGGATCACCAATTGTCCTCAAGGGGGAAAGAGAGAAACTTGGGGGTGCTGAGAACTTCAGAAAAAATGAAGCCTGTAAGCTTTCAGCTGAGCTACCGAGCAAGTTGGGACTGTCGCTTTCTCTCACTGGATAGCACGTGTATGATCAAAGCTCAAGCCCAAATCACCCGAAGTCCAAGGAGAGTTGACATTGCAGTACAAAGCGGAGAGGGAACCGTTTGACAGAGTGCACGTGACCTCTCCTTTTTTAAAATACACGTTTAAAAAAAACCACGTGAGTCACAGAAGAGTCTCTCTTAAAACATAATTATAGAACAAGTCAGCGGAAGGAACTGTTTAAAATTCAGTATCAAAGTCTCTCCCCCTGGGCTGTGCACAGCCAGAGCGCCACTCGGTAACAAAGCGTAACAGCCGTTCTTATCCCTGCACTCCAAGCTCCATACCTCAGAGGGGCTTAAAACAGAGGCACATGGACAACCCCAGTGGTGTGGGAGCGAGCATGCTAAGAAGCGTCCTTTGGTCTTCACTTTACCTTAGTTCTTTTCCCTCAACAAGCCTGCTTTGTCCTAGCCTGAGGAAAGATGACACCTGGCAATGCTTTGGGGCCCTCTTGATCTAGTGACTAATTCTAGAGAGATCCCCAAGATCTGTTAACACAGTGCTCTCTCCACTCCCAAAGGCTGGAACGGTAGAGCCCACACCTTACCATGATCTCACCAGGGCTTTCTTTTCCTGTTAGCTTCACCACACCCACACCCTTCATCTTCAAGGCTTTTTCTTCTTAAGAATCACATCATTTGATGTTGGCTCTCTAAATTTCCCCCATGTGGACCATCTGTCAGCTTGATTCCTAAACGACTGGCTTACAGTGAGCTAGGTTACGCTGTTTTAGAACCAAGGGTGATCTTTGCACAAAAGGGCAAACGCCCTTCCTCTTGCCACAAGAATCTAACCATTTACTTGGCTAGCGAGACAAAGCGAATGCTAAACTACGGTTAGGATGGTACGGGGCAGCCTTGGTAACAGAAATTTAAAACTTAAGAATTCCATGCCACAAAGCTCTTATGTCTCTGGAAATGGGGTTTCAAACCGACCCATCAGCAAATGGAAGAATACCTTGCTTCCCACAGGACACAGTGCCTGGTGGCTGTCAGGACAGAGAAACTGCCACCTGTATCCGAACAAGTGAGCTCCACAGGCAAGTTCGTTGCAGCATGTGAAGAACTGCTGTCTAACACCGCACGGTGCGCAAGGAACATGTCACAATGACGCTAAACGCCTCCGGCCGTTAATGTTGCTTTTGGTTTGCACGCACAGATCCTGAGCGGCTTCTCTAGGAAGCACCCAAACCATTTGAGGATCAATGCTGGCCCACCCCCTGCTTCCCAGCCTAGCTCTGTGCATGCCTCAAGTTCTTGAACAAAGCACACCGGCTCTCCTCCAGCGGCAGGCTAGTGGCCAAGCTGCCGGTCGTCGTACGTGCTGTATCGCTTCACATGGATGCGGCGCACTCGGTCGCGCAGTTCAAAGCCCTCGTCGTCCTCGCTGTGAGAGGCCTGGCTGTGGTTCCGGCTCGTCGCCTCCAGCAGAGAGTTGTCAGGGACGCGTGGAGTTTCATAAAGTAAAACGTTTAGTGTCTCCTCGTAGATACGCGCCTCAGGGAATTCAACCTAGGGAAGAGACATGCAGACTGTTTGCTGAGGCAGGCTGGCTACCAAGACAGGAATCCCTGTCGTGCTTACTGGTGAAGGAATTTCAAATGCTCGTGCACATGAGGACAGACACAGAGCCAGTAAAACAGTTCTAAGCAGAAGAGATCTGAGAGATAATCCCCCAGGGTAGGATAATACTTCCCATTCTCTCTTGCTCAGGCCAGCTGCCGCTACTTTTGGGAGAGACTTGCCGAATCTAGCCCATCTCAGTGTCAGGATGCGGTTTCTGATACTGAACTGCAATGTCTGGGCTGCAGTCTGGTCTCAGCATCAAGTACCACTTGAGTTGATGTCAGGGGAATGACTCTAGATCTATCAGTCTGTAATTGTAAAGCAGCAATTTTTCTTCTTCAGCTGTTAGTATTGAGTCCAAATTTCCCTGTTGTCAACTTCATCCTACTGCTTTTATTGACATGTCCCCGCTTGGAACAATTCGCCTCTTTTGACATTTGTGTTTTCCAACTTTTGGAAGATCGTCAAGCCCCCTCCCGCACCCCACACATCTCACCCTTTAATCAAGCCACATATGGGGTAAATTCTGCTCCTAGTTACACCAGTGTAATCAAGTCTAGACTAATTCCAGGGAAGGTCATTTGCACCAGTGTAAGTGGGAGAAACGGGGATGTTTCAAAAGCTCCTATGGGACTTAGGAGCAGGACTCTCAATGGCATCGTTCTCCTAAAAATTATGTCGGTGCTTCTGAAATTCCCTCGCTCAATCTTTCCTCCTAAATTATTCCTTCTAATCCCCAACCCTATTTTGCACCTCTGAATTATGCCCAATCGGTCAATATCTTTGGGATATGGAGATGCTCAGGACAAGATGCAGCTCGTGAGCCCAAACAGCAGTCCCGACCCCCCAGTGAGTCACAGGAAGGGTCTAGGTGGATTGCCAGTCCCACCCTCCCATGCTCTTGCTTCTTCTGGAAGCAGTGGCATAGTCAACAGGATCTGGCCAGCAGCAGCACAGAAGTGGCTGGAATCTATTGGCAGCCTGGTGGGGCAGGAGAACAAAGGGAATGGAAGGCCGAGGAGGCCCAATGAGAGAAAGAGAGCGAGCGAGCACCAAGGGCAATGTGGACAAAAGGCAATCGGGTGGGTCACCAGTACAGTTTGGGAACCACTGTGCTAGCCAAGTTATCCCAGTCATTTGGAGTTCAATGATCAACACCACCACATGATGCACAAGTACAGGTTGTCACAGGGATGTAATAGTGGAGTCCCGCGTTTCTCAAACTGTGGGTCCTGACCCCCTGGGGGGTCACGAGCAATTTAGAGGGAGGTCGCGGTATCACAAAGTTTGAGAACCCCTGGTGTAGCTGATTAACGTGTAAGCTTTTGCTTATCGGTTAATGTTATAGACCACATGCATTTCCCTCCCTGCCCCTTGCCAGTACATTTTTTAACAGACTGGCCAGCAGCCCCACTCAGTCCTGGCTTGTGACAGGTCGGCAGGCAACCCAGCTCAGTTCTGGCTCGTGCTGGGTCTAGGAGCTCAGATCCCACTTAGACAGGGGCTGCTGCCACCCCGTACTGCTGCCTCTTTATCAGAGGCAGCAGCATGGGGCAACAGGCAGCCGGTCTGTGTGGGGAGCTGGTTTTTAAACTGGCTCCCCTTGTGGACCAGCTCCCGCCTGGCACCTCGTGCTTCACGGAGTGGCAGGATGCTCCTAGGGAGTGGGACTGGAGTGCACTGGCTGCCAGCCCTGCCCCGGGGACTACAGAATAGTCGACTAACCAATAAGAATTCATGAAGTTACTTGATTATTCAATTAACCGATATTTAACTTCTCTAGTCTGTCACCCTTGGGATCTGACCGGTGCCAAACCAGAGAGTTTGCCGGACCACAGGAGGTAAATATTGTCTAGCAGCGTCTCCGACACTTCCACTGCTTCCTGGGCTCCTCAAAGACATTTAGTGGTAAATTAGAGCTAAGTAACAGCACAGAACACGGAGAGCCAGGCCTGGTAGCTGTAAACAAACTTCATAGGACCAGGGGAAACTTGGCCCCTCCCATGATAAGTGGACATCTGGCTAACTGAAATTAAGCTGGACTACAGATGTTGCTGGACCAGAGAGTGCCGGACTAGAGAGGTTCATCTGTAACGAGTTAAACCCATTCATGAGCTGACCTGCTCCTAGTCACTTGGTCTGAGACCGATCCCATTGTGTAAAGTCCCCACTTTGTTACTTAACCACAAGACTCAAAAGGAGGACAGTTCCCAGTACCTTGGTTTGTTTCTTTTCCGTGGCATACACTATTGAGGTGCAGCAGACCTCAGCAAGCTTCCGCCCCTGTCCGTAGAAAGACCAGCAGCAGATTTCATCCCCTATAACATCCTTCATGAAGAGGACTCGGCCGTTGAAGCGGAGCGAGAGTTTATCAAACAGTTCTATGTTCTTCAGTAAGTTATCGTCCGAGTTACTGAAACACAGCAGCAAAGGCAATGAAAAGGTCTTGGTGGTTTAGCAATTGGCCTGCATGGTAAGCTGCCACTGGCTTCCTATTCCTGCCCCACCACAGCTACAAGCAGTAGTCTAACTGGAGGATACAGCTGGTGACTCATTGCTCTGCACTGCCAAGAACAGGCGGGAATCCCAGCCAACTTGGAACATAAAGAGGATGCTCTGGTCCCATGTGCAAATGCTTCTTTAGAGGTCAAATGGTGTTATTAATGTAATAGTAGCCTACGGTTTCCTATGCCATTACAGCAATGATCTAAACCCACATCCTGGCCAGCGCCTGAGCTGATATCATATGCCACTATGGTTCTACTTAGCAACAGCAAGTGACCCCAGAGAGCCAATACCAGGCTCAACAGAAGGTGTCCGCGCATCAGAACTGTCACTGTACAGCAGGGGTCTCCCACCTTTTTAAGCATGAGATCGCTTTTTGAATTGAAGTACAATCCGAGATCTCTCTTGGAGCCAAATACCCTGGCCCCGCCTCCTCGGTGCCCCTTCTGCAAGGCCCTGCCTCTGCTCACTCCATCCTCCCTCACTTTCACCAGGCCGGGGCAGAGGGTTGGGGTGCAGCCTCTGGTCTTGGATTAAGGGATTTGGAGTGTGAGAGGCTGGGCTGAGCTTGGGGCAGGCAGTTGGGGTGCTGGAGGGAGTTCTAGGTACAGGCTCTGAGAGGGTCTCTGGGGCATTCTACCAATCGGCCCTGAATCCCAGAAGCATTGAAGTTTAACATTTAGTTATGGTCTGATGATTTGGTCTGGCATTCAGCATACGAGGGCAAACCCAGGCCACCTCATCACCCTGGGCCAAAGGGGCTGAGGCAAACTTCAGAGGCCTCTAAACCTGGAGGGGGAGGAGAAGGTAGCCAGGCAAGAAAAAGCACTGTAGAAGCAACATATGAAAATGGATTTCCTTAACAGGGATGTTAAGAGTTTACTCGATCAACTGTGTAACCAATAAGCTGATGCTTATTAGATAATGGTGTCTGGTAAACTCAGCCGGCTCCCAGGGAGTTGGCTTCACTGCAACAGGGCAACGAAAGCTCCCCGCTGGGAGTCGGGCCGGCAGGGGCTAGCAGCCCCACTCCTGGGGAGGTTTCACAGCAGGCTGTTCAGTATAAAGCTTAGCTTTATAGCACAGCGCCTGCCGTGCGAGTAACCACGTAACCGATACGATTTTTTTTTTGTGGTTACACGGTTACCGTATTAAAAGATTTAAGCATCCCCAATCTTGCCTGCCACCAGACCTGGTAAGTGGGATTCAAATGCTGCCCAGCTGATTAGCAGAGCGGATCAGCAGCGAGCCCACAACCAGCAGCCTGCCTTTCGAGTGGTGATGCACATCTGCACGACATGGTGCACATAACATGTATTCTGCCCATCGATGGAAAAAAATGAGAGGGAACGCTGCTGGATGTCTGGGTGGAAGCCGAAGGCTGGGCTGCTTTAAGGGATCTGTGTTGTACTGTATCACAGAGGCTGTTTTGTGCTGACTTGGTAAATCCAAGTATCAGAATAACCACCTGCTTTAGGGAGTGGCTGCTCCATTCTTTGCAGTTCACCCTCACTGAGTGGCCTCAATTGGCTCCCCGGCAGCTCCTGATGTGATCAGTCACAGGCAGCTCCTAATGTGATCTAATGCTTCATATCTCTGCCCTGAATCTCCTTTGCGGCTATGTAATTCACTGATTTCCAAAGGGCTGGAAGTCAGGCCCAAGGTGGACAGCAGGGCTGCATGGGGGCTCGGGACTGGAACTGCAGAGGGAGGTATGGGTCACAGCTGCATTGCAGCACGGAGGTGGAAGTTAACTCTGCATGGCGGGACTACTGTCGGTGGTGTTAGTACTCACGGTTCTCTGGGCACTTTGAGACACCGCCACCTCCCTCCCCCGCACGCTGAGCTCTAAGCCCCTCCCCCCCGGCAACTCAAGAAGTCTGATCATCCTTTGCCAATCACAAGTAGACTGGCAAGATTTTGCGCAAAAGTGGCCGCTTTTGCGCAAAAACTTACCAGCTGCCTACACTTTTGCCAATCACAAGTAACCACTCCTGGTGCGTCTAGACTGGCAAGATTTTGCGCAAAAGTGGCCGCTTTTGCGCAAAAACTTACCAGCTGCCTACACTGGCCGCTTGAATTTGCACAAGAGCACTGACTTTGTAATGTACAAAAATCAGTGCTTCTTGCGCAAATACTTTCATGCTCCCACTTGGGAAAAAGCCCTCTTGCGCAAGAATACCAGTGTAGACAGGGAAGAACTGTTTTGCGCAAAAAAGCCCCGATGGCCAAAATGGTGATCGGGGTTTTCTTGAGCAAAATCACGTCTAGACTGGCCACAGATGCTTTTGCATAAAAGCATCCATGCCAATCTAGACGCGCTTTTGCGGAAATACTTTTAGCGGAAAAACTTTTCCGTTAAAAGTATTTCTGCAAAATCCTGCCAGTCTAGACACAGTCTCCTGGAAGAGGAGAACCAGGACTTTACACTCCCTGCCCCCTGTTGCCCCACAGGAACCTTTATTGTCGGGGGAAACCCTCAAGACATACCTGGTGTAGGAGTATTTGTTGTTGCTCCTGTTGTACAGCAGCTTGACCACAGGCTGTGAGGAGAGAAAAGAATAAAGGCAGGGCTGGTAAGTTGTATACTGGGAAGAGCTCAGCAGAAATGCAGCGAGTGTGGGGTGGGAGGGAAAGCGGTTACTTTCATGGAGGATTCAATGAGCCGCTCCTCTTCCTTTGGAGACGTGATGATGGGGATGTTACAGACGGGCTCATAGGAGTCTTTCTTGTCCTGGTTAAAATAAAACAGGAGGCATAACTAATGCGGGAACCTCCAGACACGTATCCAAGCACTCTGGTGCAGGGAAAGCACAAAGTTGCTATAGTAACCCCACACTGTTAGCATGAGCAGCAATCCAGAAATACAACACAGACGGTAACTAGCCCTGAAAGGCCACGACAACCAAAGCATTTGGATGCAAACCAACATCAGTCCTACATAGAGCAACAACTCCCAGCCTGCTGAGGGTTTGTGTTTGGGGGCCATGGTGGTCTAAGCCAGTTTTCTCAACCAGTGGTATGAGTACCTTTAGGGGTACTCCAGAGAAGTCTGAGGGGTACATCAACACAACTGAAATTTGGAGAAAATGGAATTTTTTAATTTACATTTTATAGCGCTTTATTATTTTTGTACTTTTTACACTAAAAAATTTCATCGCCTGCCCAGCTATGATTAAGTTGTTTAAACAAATGTGTTGCAATAGTAGAAAAAATTGTGTGTGTCTGAAAACTGTAGGTACTGGGGGTACTGTATTTTTATACATTTATTTATTTATTTATTTATTTATTTTAAAGGGGGTACTTTATAAAAAAAGGTTGAGAAACACTGGTCTAGCTCCTTTGACAAACAGGGGAAGAGTGTGGGCCAGTTTTAGCAACTGCCCCCTGAAGATCAGTCATCACACTGTATACATTTGCTGGAGAGAAATGCACCTCACTGAAATGGATTCAAACCCTTTGTTGTACAAGCAACAAGCGAGTGTCTGCTATAGTCAATAACTCCAGCTTCCATTGCAGTCAACTAGAGAGTCAACGATTGGTTTCTTGAGTAGAAAATGTATTTAAAAAAATCAAAATCTATCATCTATCTTCTGATATGACCCCCATTTAGGGTTGCCAGGTGTCCGTTTTTCGCCTGGATAGTCCAATAATTGCATCTTCTGTCTGGTAAAAAAAAACCCAGAAAACACTGGACATGTAAAATGTCTGATATTTTCTGTTTTTCTTGGATGGAAGGCCGGTGGGGACTTTTTTCTCCTGCTGCATCTGGTGGGGGGAGTGGGAGCACAGAATTTTTTTTTTTCCCTCAACAAATTTGATCTCTGGGGTTCCCCCCGCCATGTTCAGGATTTTTTGTGAAGGTATCTGGCAACCCTACCCCCATTACTGTAGTGTCTCAGTATCTCTGATCCTCCCTATACCCCTAGGAGGCAGAGAAGTGCTGCTGTCTCCAGTTTGAGGCACCAAAAGGCAAAGACTTGCCCAGAGTCACACAAGGAGTTTGGGGCCGAGCAAGGACTTGAATTCAGGCCTCCTAAATTACAGGCCCTAACCACTGGCCCACCCTTCCTTTTTTTATGATGGGAGAACTCCTTTGTTCCTGCAGTGCTTCACAAGCCCCGTAGGCACTCAGCACTGCTAACTTCCACCCCTTTTAGGGTGGAAGACAGAAGTCCAATAGTCAGATTATCTGGGGATATTCTGGCCAAGTGATCACTCCAATTCTCTTCTCTGACAAGAACCATCACATGTTTAGTTCTCCTCTCTGCATGGACACAACATGGCTTTACAGTCTTATCCAAAAGATGCACAGAGCAAGAGGTATGTTTCTCGATTTATCTGCCTTGGAAAGAGACCCTGGTAGGGATCAAAACTGTGGCTCTAGACATTTAAGACTTGCTATCAGACATCCCCTGGAGTTGCACCAGTGCCTCATTCAAACACAAGCACATACAACAGCAGGCAGGTCCTGAAGTAGAAAAACTTCAGGCTGCTGCTATGTCTTACCTGGAGAGCTGCCTGGCATATGTCGACTAAGCCCTGAATTAGGTAATATTTTGCTTCTGCCATCAGCTCTTTGATCTCCTGCCTGTTTTTAGGAAGCGCGACAGTGTCGTCTCGGAGGTAATTTAAAATGGCACCAAAGTGTTTCCCACAACGGTCTATAAGGATCCACCCTGAAAGGCAAACATCACAACATTTGAGCAGCGTATTGCAGCAGGGGAGGCAAGCAGCAGATCAGCAAAGTGACTAAACATGGAATCTGTGGAGAATTCATCTTCCTGATGTCTCCTGCAACGAAGCTTGACTCAGTTCCCATGGTAGCTAGTGGGAGTCTTTGCTGACTTCAGGGGAGCCGGAGCAGGTCCACAGAAAAGAAACCGACAGAGGAATTGCTCTTCTCCACGGCCCAACCACCAACCTCCCAAAAGGAAAAGATTCCCCACAGATTCCAAGCCTAAGAAGACCTAAATGAAAGAATCTGTAAACCTTCAGGCTTGCACTAAGAGCAACAAGAGAACCTGTAAGAATCCTAGCGTGGTTTTTTTTTCTACTGATCAATCCATACAGTTTCATCCCAAACCTGGTTGTTGTGCTTTGTCTTGTCTAGATTAGATGCCAATCAGCTTGGGACTTGGAGCCATAGAAATATTAGTGGATGTTACCAGTTGGCACTTGAGTAGTTCTGTTTAACTGACTGGTTCGGCAGTTCGATCTTAGAAAAATGCTTATGGTTAAATATGGGGCAGGTGTTTTAAGAAGCTCGGTACTATCCCAGAGAAGTTGGTTCTTACTGCTTTAATTTCTGAGTTATTTCTGTTGCCTACAGGTTGTATGGGCAAAAAAGAACATTGCATGGTGCCAGAACATTACAACCACATGAAATGCAGTAAACACTGGAGCTGAAACTCAGGCTTGAGAAATAAGTGTGGGGTGGAAAGATCTTTCAGGGGTCCTATTTAATTTTTTTTAAATAGGTTGGAATAGATTTTGTGATTTTTAACTCTTGTGCCTGGAGAACATAAGCGCACACACAAATAAATATCAAGATGTAGGTATTCAGTAATAACAGAGATCTACTAGACCAATTGGCATGTGGCAGAGATTTCACCAGTCCTCTCTCCCAGGTCTGGAGAGAGAAATCAGAGCACCATCTCACAGATGCCAAGAGACAGAACAGGCCAGTAAAGCCAGCAAGAGAAAGGCCATCCTGCATATGCAGAGAGCAATGCACCCATCAGGAAAGCCACCCATCAGGGAAAAACTCCGCACAGGACCAAAGGAAGAAAGACTCTTTTCTAATCTGGCCCCGGTGCCTCATTCCTTTGAAGAAGGATGTAGAAACTGCCATCAAACAACGCTTGCGTAGGCTGCACATAGCATTAAGAAGCAGCCCCCTGAACCTCCTTATGTAACAAGGTGGCGTTAACATGCCAGGCGGGCAAGGATTTGCAATGAGTCAGGATCTTACATGAACAGGGGATGAATAATAACGAGACTCTGGATTTCTACACTGTTTTCCGTACTTCAATCTCCCAGCACTATACAAACATGGAAGACTTACATCCCTGTGCTCTTAGGGTGCGGTCACTCTCCCCATTTTGCATCTGGTCTAACACACTAAAGATGTGCTATCACACTGATTTAGTTAAGCCAAGTATTTAGCAAGCAAGATACACCAGCTTCATACCAGTGTACGGTAGCCACACACAAAGCTGCCCTGAGTTAGTTTACACCTGGGTGTAACATCGCCCCTTCAGTTTAACCAGCACAACTTCTACGGGTAGACGAACAATATGAAATACCTAGAAGCTAGGCGACGTGCCCAACCTCACCCAATAAATCTATGGCATAGCAAGGGCCAGAATCCAGATCCACACATCCTCAAACCCAAACCCATCCCCAAACCCAAACCCACCCACTCAAAACCCAAGATCATTCTTCTAGAGGGCCCCAATCAAGGATGTTCTCTCGCAACATAACTCCACAGCTTTACTGAGCCTGCGTTATTTCTTCTCCTAACGAGACAGTTTGGCTTAGCCCATCGTGAAGCGGACTCTGAAAGCATGGCCTCTGCTCGGGCAGATGCTCTTCTTCCTATTTAAATAAAGTCGCCGCATTAAGCCCGTTTAGATGTAAACTTATTGAGCCACATGCACAGAACAACATGGCCTTTATCCTTGACGGTGGCCTTTAAATGCTACCTCAATTCAAATATTATATTATATAATTATATACCTATACAGAGGGCTTGCCGAGTGGCAGTGAGCCCCGCTCGCCAACTGCGTGGTTCTGCACAGATCGTTCTGCGCATGCGTGGATCACTCCGCGCCGGCTCTTCTGGGGTGTAATCTACTTGCCACAGGCGAGTAGATTACGCTATTTGTCGAGCCCTGCCTATACACCTAGGTTTGGCAACGTGAGTCAGAGCTTTAAAAAAACAAAAACAAAAAAGCGATTCCACTTGTCTGCCCTCCTCACACGCTTCTGGATGCTTCTATATAACACCATACAAGTGCCAACCCACATGCCGTATGCTCAGTCCTCCTGACAGCAGGGTAAGCCATCCACCTATCAGTCGTGCCAAGAGCAGAGCGAATTCTGATGAAGGGGGAAATTTTCCAAAGGTAAGCCAGGACATTAATACCAATGGGAGTTGGGTTCCTAATTCCCTTGGGTCCCTTTGGGGGGAAAAAAAGTCACCCTAAATCTCATGTACTGACAGAGTCCTAGTCTCAGACACGCAAGCAGCTCCTGACTCTCTTACCTTCCTTATCCGTCAACACTTCCATCCTGCCACTGAACATGGCCTTCAACATGGTGTCATGCCTGGTCAGCACCTGCACCGTGGTGTAGTACAAGGCGCCCCCCACGTTGAGCCGCACGTACTTGTTGCCCAGGCTACCCCCTTTGAAGCTGCAGGTTTTGGGCTTGGCTCCTGAAGACCGGTAGATGCTCGTGAGGCACGTGTCCCCAGACATCTCCTTCTGTAAGTAGATGATGACTCTACAGAGGGTTGGCTTGATGGATTCCGCCGTGGTTGGGGACGAGGTCACGGGTTGTCGGATGGGGAGAGCAGGGTAGGAATGGTCATCACCTGCTCCAGCCCTGGGTGGGGTTAGAAACAAGGGGAAGAGAGTGAAATCAAAGCAGAAGCCTAGATTTACCTTCGGCGATGAAAACATGAAGCCTGCGTCAAAGAAGGTAGGGATTGTTAAGAGGGTACACAGCCTTCCACCCTGAGGTTCCAGAGTCAAAGCGAACGTAGGTGAAAACGGCTGAAAACTGTTACCTGAAAACCTGCCTGCAGGACAACTTCAACAGGGAATTTTCATCGGTTTTTACTAGACAAGCTACGTCTGTGATGGGCAACCTGTGACCCATCGAGGTTCTACGTGTGGCCTACAAGACATTTTGCTCACTGTTGTCCACGTGCCGGGTTGCCACATTCCCTGGTTTCTATCCAGCTAGGTTTTGCTCCTGCTGGTATTACTAAAGTGACATGCACTTAAAGCAAGGCCACGTAAAGCGGAGGTGCACGCTGATTGCACACAACACTGGGAGAGCCAGGTGCTCCCTCTGCAGCCAATCAAAGTGTTGCTACAGTGCAGTCAGCACACCCCGCAAATTCTACATATGTCAGCGCAAGGAGCAAAACGACCCTATCCCAGGAGGCCCTCTTGGTTACAACGGTCTTGCGGCCCACTGAGATGAAGGGGAAGCCACTAGCCTAGAAAAAACAAGTAGTCCCGTGGCACTATGAAGAGTAACAAAAATATACAGTGTCAGGAGGTTTCATGGGCAAACCCCACTTCTTCAGCTTGAGTGGTGCTCATTAGCCTAGGTTGCCTGTCACTGTTCTACAGTTTCTGACAACACACAATGTTGGTCCAGCATTCTTCTTCCTAAAGACAACGTTACTGCTCATCTGGGATGTTAAACTGCATTTATTAAAGTAAATGTGGAACTGCTAAAAATGTCAGTTACAAGCGGGGAGGCAGGCGGGCGACAGGGGCCACAGTGCGGCGGGACAGGGGGCTCCGCAAGGTGCCAGCTTAAAAGCCAGCTCCCCGCACATACCAGCTCCCATCTGCCCCCTCCCCTGTGCTGTTGCCTCTGATGGGGGGGATGCGTGTAATCGTGCATGTTAACCGGCTAGCCCAGGCTCATCGGTTAAGCATGTAAATGGCTGCACTTTCACACCCTAACTCCCACTGATGCCAACAGGAGCAGCGTTACAGCCCTGTTAAAAATCCCACCTACAACATTGAAAAAAAGGGGAAAAAGAGAGAAGGGGAACAGACAGAATATGGACTTTATTTGAATAGCTAGCCAGGAACACGGCTGTCCTACGCTTACAAACCACTGTACGAAGACAAGTGATAGAAATGTAGCCGTGTTAGTCTGGGGTAGTTGAAGCAAAATGCAGGACAATGTAGCACTTTAAAGACTAACAAGATGGTTTATTAGATGATGAGCTTTCATGGGCCAGACCCACTTCTGGCCCACGAAAGCTCATCATCTAATAAACCATCTTGTTAGTCTTTAAAGTGCTACATTTTCCTGCATTTTGCTTGTACGAAGACAGACGCATTATTAGCAGGCATAACTGAAAGGTTGAATGAAGGACTGACACAGGGAAGCTATAAAAGAATTCACAGAGTGTGAGTGCATGCCTAGTTACAATGCATCAGGAAACGAGCTATTTCCTCCCAACAAAGTCATGAGAAAATAATCCAGGCCACTGGCATTCGGTGTTTAACAAAGGAGACAGCAGAAAAAAAAATGGGGGTTGATTTTCTCTTCAATAGGAGACAAAACTTGGCAGCTCATTTCAAACAATCATTTGAAAACAATGGTGCTTCAAACCCCCCTGGCCAAATTACACTTTTCAGGACTTTACAAAGCGGAGGCATCAGCCAAACCTGAAGTGGAGGCGAAACACGTCAGTCTGAACGTCTCTGGGCAGAAGGCAGGAACTCTGCGCTCGCTCTCTGCTTCCCAGAGGGATATTACACATCTCGTTCAGACCTGTCCCTCACAATGGGAGAGTTTCCTGCACTTCCCCTTGGCTGGAAGAACAGCGTGTAGGGCTTTCCTGGCAGTCTCCATTGTCAACTCGATTCCGATCCCTGTGGGGGCCATTCAATTTCTCTATCCATACGCCTGGTACATCTTTGCAGTCAGAGTTGTTCTCACTAACAGGGGAACAACTAGCTGATGCTGTAGTTGCATTCCAATGCGGAGAAGATTGCTTGGGATCTGTTTGCTGAAACATTCCTCGCTGATGAGTGCAGATAAATGAAGTTAACCTGTCTCTAGTCCAGTCCTAGGCCCTCCCTCCCCGCCCCTCTTCTCTCCCATCCCCACACAAGCAAAACAAGAAATGGAACCAAACGAACGCAAGCAAAGATGGGCCCCATCAGAGCCACGACCCTCTCACTGGACTCTGGATCTCACAGGCACCGGGCTGTGCTCAGCTGAGCCCAGGAGCAGCTGCACTTTGCTCCCAGAGCTGAAATCTCTTCCCTCCCTCCCACTACGCATAGTCTAAAAGGGCAGATCTTTTTGCAGAGCCCAGGCACTGGGATGCAGCTCCTGAAGCCCCTGCATCGCGGGTGGGTGGGTGGGTGTGGAATGCGGCTCCACTCCTGCCTCCCTCCTGCCGGCCTGGACCTGCAAGCTCTGCCCATGTGCTTCCCTTACCTGCAGGCTCCACTCCCACAGATCCCATTGGTCGGGAACTGCGGCCCATGGGAGCTGCACCGGGCAGTGCCTGCAGGGGAAATACAGAGCCACCTGCCCACTTCCCCACTGTGCCACCAAAGGGGAGCTGCTCCAGGTCAGTGCCCCTCACCCTCACATGCACCCTATCTCCTACTTGGACCCTGTATCCCTACCCCAACCTCCTGCCGACCATATCCCTTGGCCCCAGCCTGGAGTCCCTTTTTGCCTCCCAAACCCTTCGTTCCCAGCTCCACCCCAGAGCCCATAATCCCTCATTTTGGCCCCACCCTGGAGCCTGGGGGAGCGGAATGACAAAATGTAATGGCCCTAGGCCCCCAGAAGAGTAAATCCAGCGCTGAATCTACCGATCTGTCCATTTCGGGTAGCAGGCTCTTCTGTCTTCTCACTTCTCCGGACAGCAAAAGGCACCATCAGTGATCTCTTACAAACAGCCCACTACCAGGTAGTGCAATCCTTTACTGCCCTACCGGCAGCATGAGAGAGCTAAGCATCCACCTGGTACAGAATAACCTCCCGAGAGCTACAGATGGCAACTTAAATGTCAGAGATTTGAAGAATCACTGATATTACAGACCCAGACAAACCTTCCAACAGCGTCATTCCCCCCTTTGTTGGATCTGAGTAATCCCTGCCAACTGCCTCTAATAATCCACAGTGAGTGGGAAGCAAACTCTGCAACATGCAAGGACACAGCAAATTCCACAAAGCATTTTGAGGCCAAAGCAGGTCAGTCAGGTTATAACTGGCTCTAATTGGCAGCCCCACTCACTGGTTGCATTCTTAACCTCCAGCTGAGCAGCCCTAGAAAACAAAGCCCAAATTCTTTTCTGCCTGCAAACAGGTTGAAAGTTCCTTCCTCGCGGATCATTTGAGCCAAGCATCTCAGAAGTCAGTATGAATCACAGGCAATCAGGCATCACAAAAGGAAATGGCTATAAAAGCAACTGTTGATCTGCAAGCGACTAATCACTAAGGCTATGTCTAGACGAAAGAGGGATGTAAATTAGATCCGAATTGGAAATGAAGCCGGGATTTGAATTTCCCGCGCTTCATTTGCTTAATGGCGGCTGCACGTTCTTTTGAAAATGGGTAGTTTGAAAGTGAAACTACTGTCTAGACGTGGGTCTTTCGGGGAAAAAAACCCTTTTTCGAAAGATCCTGTAAACCTCATTTTTTGAGGAGTACAGGATCTTTTGAAAGTTTTTTTTTCCTGAAAGAACCGTGTCTAGACGGCGGTTTCACTTTCGAAATACCCGTTTTTGAAAGAACGTGCAGCCACCATTATGCAAATGGCATCACTTCATTATTGCTAAAAAACTAACCTTGATTTTTAGGCAGATTAAAGTCTATCTAATTTACATCTCTCTTTCGAAAGAGGGATGTAGTGTAGCCATGCCCTATAAGAGGTGATCACCAAGACCTGCTTGGGTGTACTGTCACACAATGACAAGATCATGGAACAATACCACACTGTTCACTTCTGAGACCCCCTGTTAAAAGGTCCTAAAGCACATGACAAACACTAAGGAAATTCAGTCTCACAATACTCACGTGGTAAAGGTAAAGGTAAGTTACATACAGACAGTAAGTCTGACACAGGAATAGGAATAAAGAGCAGGTTTCCTATCTTATTTCAGATAACCTGACCTATGCTTTCGCTGCGATATAATCCATCAGGGATGTCCTTAGGATTTACGAGGGCCTATGCAGTGCGACTAAACTGGTGCCCGACGACAGCTGGCAGGGTGATGACTTTTGAGAGATGTGATTTTAGAATCTTCAGCAACACACTCATGAATAGTTTTAAACCAAATTTTAACACTAAAGGTCCTGTCGACTAACACAGTAAATTCAGAAACTGACACTATATACCTGGGGTAGGCAAATGCCTCTTCAATGCCTTCATTACCACCTGAATGGCTCTTTCACCGGTTGGATGTTCTGCTAATGGGTCTGGCAGGCTTTTTCATGTTAAAGTTAACTAGATCCTCTCCGCAAGAAGCAAAGCCACAGACCAGGAACAGGAAGAGGCAAATGGGTGGATATTAAGACCCAGTAGTGCCCCAAATTTTCAGGTGCCCTATGCAGCTGCATGTTCTGCATATGGGTAAGGACTGCCCTCTAATCTATCCTCCGTTTGTCTTTGTTACCTTGGAAAACAAAACAAAAAATAAGTTTTATTTGTGTACGGGCATTTTCACTTTTAGGTTTCAGTTGCTGAAGGGAAATAATACTGATTTAAAAATCAAGGGGCTTCATTTGGATTTTGTTTTAAACAATTACAATCGTCTGAGGTTTTCAGTAAAGATTAAATTTTGTAAAAACCAATTTTCAAATCCAGTTAATGTAGGGAGTGATTTAAATAAAACATGTTTAAAGACTTTCAGAATGAGTGATTATAAAGGTTCTGAAAAGGACAGAATTCAAGAGTCTGATCCTGCAATGAATGGCAGATCTCCACACCCAGTCAGAGTTCCAGAAACCTACATGAGTCTGCCTGACAGCATCTCATTGTAGAATCAGGGTCTTTGTTAGCGCTATTATTTTCTCCCAACAAAGCACAGAGGAGTAAAATAGGGAAATCCTTTTTGCCATCCAGACAAGTCGCATGGGAGCCAATACAATTGATTTCACATGTTAATTAAGAGGCAGGCTAGGAGACTTCACCCATACTCAGCAAGGAAACCCTCAATTAGCGTCTTGACTGTAAGAGGAAAAGTTTGTTACTCTGTCCTTCTTTCCTGCCTTGAGCAGGAAGAGTGGCACAAGATTGTAAATACAATAGCACAACATTTC